GCAACAATAAATGCAGTTTCATTTCCAAACACAAATCAAAGACAAACTGCAACAATAAGTGGAGTCACTCCTTCAAACACAAATCAAAGACAAAATGTAACAATAAATTCGGATATTCAGCGTCAAATCCCTCAGCATCAATCCTCACTACCTAATGAAACTGCTTCTTATTCTTCCCAAATTTCTAATCATTTAACCGATAATCCTCCATTAACAGATTTACAAAATACACATCTAGTGCCAAATTTTGCTTATGATTACCAAAATAATTTTTCAACGCATAAACAATCTATTTTCGTTAATAAAGCTTGCATTGAACTTATTCCTAATTATCAATCTTTTGATGATAAAAATAAAGAGATTCACCGAAAAAGAATCAAAAATATTCTGAGGACTTATCATACATTTTCAATTTCCCAATCCGCACGTATTAAATATTCATTAACCATATATACAAATGGTCATCCTTTGAGATTTCAACGTTACAATGCTCATAATAATTATTTAGAAATTATTTATTATTGCGGATATAAACCTAGATGCAACTTTTGTATGCATGTAAAAGTCTTTGATGAGAAATTAAATATTTCTCCTGAAGAAAAACCAGACAGTAAACTTCATAACTGCCGACCTGCAAAACAATCTCAAATAATTAAAGGAACAAATCCAATGAACTATGATATTGAATCTCAAGTTCAAGATTATGTTGTCAAAAATCCAACCGCAACGATATCAGAAACAAGAAAGTATGCAAATCAACTGATATATGACTGTAATCAAGCCCAGTCTACTAATTTCATTCAGATATCAGAGAAGAAAGTCCAACAGCTGTATTATGAAGTTCATCCTGTCAAATCAAAATCAGAGATTGATCTTATTAATGAAATGTTAGAATTTTTTAATCAAAGATCATATTTTATTACCCAAAGCACAAAAAATGATAATGCCTATTATTTTTTTGGATTGGAACGTTTCATTCGAGTTGCACGGTATTCATCACATTGTTTTATTGATGGAACCTTCAAAGTCGTTCCTGTATCAATAATGAATGGCCAATTATTAAATTTGTTAATTTTTGACCAAGCAACTCAACTGTATCTACCGTTTTTACATATAATCATGACGGGAAGAACAGAAACTGATTATCAAAGAGTATTTAGTATTATGGAGTATGATACTGATATTAAAATTCCTTTATCAACATTTGATGTTATAACAACTGATTTCGAAAAAGCACTTCAAGGCTCAATTTATAAAAGAAAAGGAGAGCAAACCATATTGACTGGATGCATATATCACTTTATTGCAGCATTAGTTAAGAATTTCAAGAAAAAATGTGATCCAGAAGATCTTAACAATAAAATTCTTTTAAAGTTATTATGCGCTTCTCCATTCATGCCAGAAGAAGTTTTTGATTTGGTTTGTAATAAAATTAAATGCATTCAAGATACAAATGAATTTGCAAAATACTTTATTAAAACATGGAGCACAAGCTATAATTCAATCAGCAAGCTCAAAGTATTCGACAATATTTATTCTAATAATGGCGTAGAATCGTACAACAAAGTGTTAAATACAAATATTGTATATTCACATCCCACAATTTTAAAGACGGTACACACTTTAATGAAAGTGGATTTAGCGATTTTGCATCGATATGCACGGGCAGATAAAAACACAAGTGATCATAAACAGTCGTATTTCATTAAATTGAAAAAAATAAATGAAGAGATTCAGTTATTTGAAGAGCATTTTGGTCTGGAAATATCATTAATTCCTGAGGATATAATGAAAAAATATAAGGATTTGTCCAAACATTCTGGAATTGATTTCAGAGATATTGAAATTGAAAGGTATATGTCAAGTGATCAAATACTTGATGACATTCAAATAAATTTAGAAGAAACAAAAAATGAAAAGATAGAAAACATTGAAATTGCCGAAGATGATTTATTTCAATAATATGTAACATTGATTTCTATTCAACTTTATCGTTATTATAATAAACATTTTTATGATTTTTTTAATATTTTTTATAAGTAGATTGAAGATTATTTGATGGAAAGATGTATATATATATACATAATGTACCTTACAATATCTTCATGCTATGAATTCCAGAATAATGACAAGTCTTTCATTCTTAATTAGAAGTCTCCAATATTTTGTCTATTTTTTCATATTTTTTCTATTTTTTTTCACCATTTAAAATTTCTTAAATTCTAAATATAGCAAATTATATCATTTTACTTTCTGCAACGATTTAATCGATAATTATATGAATATTATTGTAAATATTTCTAAAATATTTTAAATACAAATAATTTTAAACTGAACCAAATAAATTGGATAACTTTAACTCAATCAAATAAATATTAATATGAATTTTTATAGAAAAGCTTTATTTTTTTCTCAATTTTTAATTTCATTTCAGTCTCTAAACTTTCTTACTATGTAAAAACGTATTATTATAGTAATAAAATAAAATACATGTTTATTCGATCTCGTATTTCAAAAAAATAAAATTACTTATATAAAAAGATTCTCTTTAGTCAACTTTCTTTTTGAATCTCTAATAAGTTTTTACTGTTGCTTCTATATATTAAGTATTGATTCTTGTAGTAAAGAAAATCCGGAACGTTTATTTATTAGAATACTCGAACTTTGACTTACATATTACTAATTGTAATTATTTTCAAGAGCTATTTCTATTACTCCTACTTGTTCGGCTTAAAATCTGCTATATTGTTAAGATAAACTAAGTCTAAATTTTGAACCATTTTTTGAAAGTTTAAAGTGTAATACATATCGATTTTTTATCCGAATTTAAGAATTGCTTCAAAGTTTTAGCGTGAAATCGTGCATTTTTTCTAATGAAATTGTTATTATAAGATAAGCAATCTGAGTTTTTTTGAATAATATGTCACTACACATGATAGAGCGTTACGTGCTGAAAAGTTACGCTTCGTTCTGAAAGTGGTAATGAAGTTTTATTAGAATTCATCAAAAAAACGTATGAAAATAATCGTATGTCAAAATGTGAGCACTTCTCAAAATTTGCTCACATTTTGACTATTTTTGTGAGATCTTCCTCACAATTTTTGACAAACGTACAAAAAAGTGCCAAAATGTGAGCAAATGTGAGCAATTTTTATATCTCGGTATTTGTCAACGAATATTGTCAAAGCAGTTTTCACATCTAAAATATTTTTGGACCATAATGGTATGGCTTCACAGTATCTTGTGTTTTGACCAACAAATATTAACCAGTATGGAGGTCCATCTGTTCTAACTCTCGGAATGTTTTCCAAGATATCCATAAACCAAGCATTTGGTGTTGAACTAAAGATTTTTATCATGAGTGTTTTCTTTGTCGCTTTAGAAACATAGGGGTCCTTGTTCGGATTCGTCATTTTTTACCCTATAAGAAATGGGTTTATTTGGCGCATTAGCAGGAGTCGCATCTAGATTTTTACCCGCAGTGGGAACAATAGCCAGAGGTGCATTTGGAATTGGAAGGAAGATTTTGAGTACATTAGGTATACTTAAAGAGAAAGCACAACCTATTATACAAACTGTACAGAAAGGTTGGGATGTAGCACGAGATGCAACAAATCTTATTCCAAATCCTGAAACAAGAGGAAAAGTTCAAGGATGGATGGACAATGTAGGAAGACAAGCAGGAAACTATTATAACAAAGCAAATGACTACTATAACCAAGCAGGACACTATATGGACCAAGGTGAAAGATTCTTTAACAGAGGATATAACATGCACAACAGTGGTAAACAATAACCAACCTCAACCGCCTCAAACGTGGGGAATGTAAAGTTTTTTATTGAGATGAAATGAACAATGCAGCATTGAGACAAATAAGTTCAAGATGGATTTGTCGGCTTCCAGCATTTACACCACGTGTTTGTAAAGTTCTTCCTATACCTCAGGAAGTTTTAGACGACTTAAAAAACCTAAACAACAGTTGAAAACAAACCAAACTAAATTTTTTTACTGAGATGAAAATGAACAATGCAGCTTTAAACAGAATAAGTCATGGAAGACCACCTTTTACACCACGTGTTTGTAAAGTTCTTCCTATACCTCAGGAAGTTTTAGACCGACTTAAAAAACCTAAACAACCAGTTGAAAACAAACCAAACTAAGATTTTTTACTGAGATGAAATGACCGAAGAAGTTGAAACGGTAGATTTGACACCACAAACAAAAAGTTCAGAACCATTGTCAAAACCTGTCAAAGAACTTACAGATGAAGAGAAAAATTCATAATAGAAAGTGCCAGGTCTGGAAATACAAACCCTAACTATAAAGTCACTTTTCATAGAAATGGAACGGCTAGTATCTCAAAAAAGAAACAGACTCTCACAAATAAAATATTGAAGTCTGAAGGAGCTTTCGAGACAACAGATGGAAAAGTTTACTTCACTGACCAACAGTTCATTATAGAACATCTCATTGACTTAGAGTCGAAATATTCTAAACTTTACAACAAACACAAAAAGTTGAAAGGAAAACAAAAACAAATGGCATATGATATTTATGAAGATGTTGACGACACAACTGTTCCTGCAAGTGAAGTAAAGTCAGAGGAACCGAAAAGTGACGAAAAAGATAGAAGAAGAAAACCAAAAACTGAAGATAAACCAAAACCAAAGTTTAGTTTCCAAACTAAACCAAGTCAACCTTCATTAGCTGGTATGGGTTGGCGTCAAAGACTTATGGCAGCAGGCGGTTATGTAAAGTAAAGAAAAAATATTTTTTTATTTTTATAAAAATGCCCCCATATAGAATGGACAGAAAGTCTGCTAGAATAAAAGCAGAGTTACAAAGATATGGTTGGAGAGTTTCGAAGAATTTTAAATATAGGAAGGGAAGACCCATAAAAGTCTATGACAAATTGTCTGGTCTTCGCTACGAAATGGATTTGGAAATAGCACGTGCCAATTATCCAAATAGACTAGAGAGGTTAGAAGAAGAACGTCTTATGGACATGCCTTTCGATGTTAGTGAACCTCAAGTTGAAGGACACGACGGCTTTGCCAGATTCTACTGGAAACATGACGAACAATTGCATCCTTTGAGAAGGAAAAAAGGAAAAGGTGAAGACACACATGCTCCCATGGAAAGAACAAGATATGCATATGAAAAGTATCGTGAAGTTAGAAGTCAAATTACATCTGGTCGAACCTTTACAGTAAACTTTGACGAAGGAAAGAACAAAGAAGGCTTCATGGGAGTACTTGCTGCAATTCAAGACGGAAATAAGAAAGGACACAATCTCAGATTGACCATAACAGATTTGGATGGTCACATTTACTATGCACATGGCAATGAACAAACAGCCGCAAAACTTCTTGACGCTTTCAAGACTACAAAGAGAGAACAAATGGTTGACTCCGACTCAGACATTTTGAATGCAATTGAAGGAATTGCAAGTGTCAAGTTCGAATGGTACCAACCTAACCCTCAAGCAGTCAGACAACATGCTGGATACTTCCCGTTCATAAATAAGTCTGACATTGACTTGACAAGGTATGGAATTTACAATTCAATTGAAACAATTGTCAATGAACCTTGCATTCTTACATGTCTCAGGAACTCTGGTCTTGTTACAGATGAGAAGATGAAGTATCTTGAGTCATGTGTGAAGACAAGGTACATTCTCAGAGGTCAATTGGCAAAAATTGCACCGTTGGCAAATGTTAATATCCGAGTCAACATACCTACAGCTAAAGGTTCTTCACATGACGACTATGTTGTTGACAAAGACTTACCATGGTTGAAGATTGTAATTGTCCACAACCACTTCATGTTGAACGAAAGTCTTACAAACCCATTCTTTGGTAAAAGTAAGTGCAACATTGTCAGAGCTGTAAACATTCTTTTCGAGAAAGGTTTGTTGGAACCAATTCCAGATGACAAGCTGACAGAAACTTTTGTACCAAAAGACGAAACAAACTTTTCATTGTTAGCAAGACCAAAAGTTGTTCCAGACAAAGTTCTAGTACAAAAGAAGTACACAGTTCCACAGGGGGTTGGTATGTTCGGATACCAACCTGAACCAGAAGAACTTCCAATGAGGTTGCAAGAACTTCAAGATGCTATAAACAAACTTCCATTGAGACATCCAATTGACGTCAAATTGTATTGGAGAGCATCTGAGTTAGGTCAGAAGGTTTTATATGAAACAGGTTGCTTCGACGATGTTTATGAGATAACAGGAGAAGTTTCTCAGAAGATAAGAGACTCACTTGAATTTCCACAAACTGGACCAATTGGTTGCGACAAGTTCGACTCAGATGAAAAGATATACTATGTCGACCTTAACGCTGCATACATGAGGTTTGTCCAATATATTCCGACTGGAATTCCAAACGAAGATGGTGAGTTCCCGGAAGGAACTATACAGTTGGAAAAGTCATACAACAACTGTAGATATTAGGAAAGCTTCAAACCCAAACTTGCAATGACACTCAAATTGCTTATGAATTCGACATGGGGATATTCCATTAAGAAACCTCAAGAGATGAAGAGTAAACATTATGAGAAGGTCGACAACTTTGTTGAAAGGTTTTCTCCTTTTGTTTTGAAGTACGAATTCACTCAAGGTCAAAGTGGCTTAGTAACCACATTAAAACCTATTGTCGAACATTGGTCTTACCCTCAGTTCGCAAAGGCAGTCCTTGACAACTACAACAAATTCTTCTCCGATGTCAAATCCAAAGTGAAGGTTTACTATGAGAACATTGACGCACTCATGACGAACGAAGAAGGATACAACAAACTCATTGAAATGGGAATGGTCGGTGAAAAGATGGGCTGTTTTAAGCTAGATAAGGTATTTTCCGAAGTTCATGTAATATCGAAAAGGAAATATGGGGGCATACTTGAAGACGGCACAGAAATAAAACATTGCATGAAATAAAAAATTTATTTTTAAAAAAGTGACATTTTTTTTATTTTATTTGAAATGTACGCTGAGTTTGTTGGAGAAGACCGTTGGGAAACTTGTTTGTTAGATGAGAAATATGAAATGGCATACCATTTTAAAACAATATATTTTTACATATATTAAATGCTTCAGGTTGAAAAACAAAGAACAAAAGTAACAGATACAAAACCGTTAGACTATATCTTTACAAATGCTGGTAGGACTATTTCAGATGAAGAAATTTCATCCCGAGCATACAGGTTTGACTATCCAATTCGTTGGCTTCAAAGTCCTTCAGATGCAAAGGCAATAGGATTTAGAAGAGTTTTGTTTTCAAATAGAACTAACGCATTTATGTTCGCAGTATATTTTCATGGGCAGTATGAAGGTTCTGATGGTCTAATAGACAAATTTGACGAAATGAGAATCTTTACAGTTCGTTCAGACGAAAGTCTTGAGAAAACTCTAAGATGACTTTCAAACTCAAATGAACAAATTTTATTGGGAATTTCAAAAAAAAAATACGACTCTTTACTAAATGGAACATACTATCTGAACTAGAATATGACAAGATGAACTCCACCGTTTCATTTCAAAAGATTGAAATTAACCCTCCAAGAGATACAGAGTTTTTATTTTGGGAAGTAGACAAACGTTCTTGGGCACAATTTTCGGTTACTAAACCAGAACGAACCATTACCACAGATGGTCCATTTAAATTTATACTTCCACCAGCAGATTTGATGGTTTATAGAAACGTGTTTGACCCTCAAAATGTTATGTGTCATGCAAGTTTCAGTTCAAGCAACAATAGTTTTCTATGTATTGGTAAGGACCTTTATGACTTTGCTTCTAAATTCTACGAACCACCTAGTAACAGTTTCTCTGACTTTCAAGTTTGGTTCACAACAAATGGTGTGCAACATATTATTCCATTGTACTATGACTTTTATCTCGAATTGTCTTTCATATATAACTACAGAAAAGTGCTGAAAAAGTATTGAATGTGAAGATATTAGAAAAATAACATTTTTTCTAACATCGTAGAAACTCATGAAAACAATTTATTTTTGACACTTTCACAAAAAACATAAAAAAAGTGAGTTAAAATGAGATGTTTACTGAACTGGCTGAATGTCGCCTTCACAGGTTATGTAGAATGGTTGACCAGAGAAGTGAAGGAGACCCTGAGAATTTGGTTCATTCTTGGGAAGGGTTCTCTCTGTTTGGAAGTAGTATCCAAGGACGCTTGGCAAAGAACTTTATAATGGCTTCCTTCTTTGCTTGCTTTATGTCGTCGTAGGCTGTCCCGTCTGGTATTTGAATTGGAATTCCAGTCGAAGTCTCGAGATTCAAGGCAGCCCCTCCCGTTATCCAACCGTTAACAAGCTTGCCTTTTACATTCTGCCTGAGGAAGTCTTTAACAAGCTCGTTAATTTCAATTAGGTAAATTGCCTCGTCGGTAGGTTCGACCTCGACCATTGCTACTGTCAGAAAAAGTACTGCTACTGTCAGTAAAAGTACTGCTACTGTCAGTAAAAGTACTGCTACTGTCAGTAAAAGTACTGCTAGGAGCAGAAAAACTACTGCTACTGTCAGTAAAAAGGAAAATTTGAGAGGGTTTTCGACGATAAAGTACTGCTACTGTCAGAAAAAGTACTGCTACTGTCAGTAAAAGTACTGCTACTGTCAGTAAAAGTACTGCTAGGAGCAGAAAAAGTACTGCTACTGTCAGTAAAAGTACTGCTACTGTCAGTAAAAGTACTGCTAGTAGCAGAGATTTTTATCGTTGTGGTCCGACGGTTAAGCCACAAACGAATGTCCGACGTCCCACCAACCGAGTACATTCCCAAACCAGAGGAACCTAAAGAACCACAACAGTCTCCTCAGCAACCTCAGTTCCAGCAAGTACCTCCGAATTACTACCAATTTCCACCTCAAGGTTACTACCCACCACAAGGCTTCCCGAACTACCCTCCTCAGCCTATGCCTTACTTCCCCAACCCTTGGTTGTTCCAGCAAGCTCCACACCAACAATTCCAATTCCAATCTCAGTCCAAGAGAGACCAAGACTTCGAAGAAGGTCTGAACCGCTTACGCAAAGAGTATGCTACAGCTCCAATTGAGAGAAAGTTGTTCCCGGACCAAAAAATATAATTTAGGTGAAGAGGTGAGATTTCACCTCTTTTTTCACCTGTTTTTTCACCCTCTTGAATTTTCATGAATTTTATATATTAATGTTTTCGTTAAGCCACTTTGTGCCGTCAGTCAGTCAGTCAGTCAGTTTAGGAAAGACTTTAGAAAGTTGTTGGAAAATAAGTCCTGGGAAGAGTATTATAAGGCATTTTGTGAAGAATATAGCAACCGCCGGAATTCAGACGGTTGCTTTTTATACAAAATTCATGCAGGAAATTCTTGGGTTTTGGTTGAAAGAATACGGTGGAGCCAAAAGTGGCTCGACCTCAAAACAAGCATTTTATGAGCTTACTAAGGGTGTTATGAATGAATTCAAATGTATTTACATACATCCTGACCTCGTTCATTTTGTTGCTGAATTCAGCAAAAATATAATTTAGGTGAAGAGGTGAGATTTCACCTCTTTTTTCACCTGTTTTTTCACCCTCTTGAATTTTCATGAATTTCCTTAAGATAGAAAAAATAAAGTTAGTTTTATTTTTATTTATTTTTTTATTTTGTATGTAAGAACAGAAATGTCAACAATCGGCACAACAACAATTCAAACAACAGCACCAAACTCGTTAGTCATGAATCCAACATCTATGTTAGTAGAAATGAAAAGCTTCATTCCATCTTCATATACTTTCGAAACAGAAATACAAAGAATAAAGCAGGAACTTTTAACAAGTAATTTAGACTGTAGTGCGAAAGATGAAACAAATGAACAGTATCTTTATGAAATGCAGGACATTATTGACCATTTACCCAAATTGCCTGAAATCCAACAACAAAAGCTCACTATTCCTGAATTCGACGAAATTGAAGTCAAAGCAACTGACTCAGTAGAAATAAAGAAGTTCATACGAAAGGTAAATTATGAATTCCTTGGTTTTCATTGCAACCATAAAGTTATGGACAAAGATTGCGACATGGTATATAAGAACATCTCTGACATATATAAATCTGGGGAGTTTAAGACATACGACAACTTTGTTTCATTAGCTGCAAAATGTGTATGGCAGATAAGAGATAAAGATAGAAGAGGTAAGGTATGGAATGAACAGATAAAACCAACTGCTTCAGATTTAAAGAAAACCATTGACGCCTTAGTTGTTTTAGCAGGTAAGGTTTCAGAATATAACGCAAAAATGAACCCGCAATGTTCAAAATGTAAAGCAGCAATGAGGAAATATAACTACTCCGTCAAAGAGATAGAAAGAATGAGAAACGACTATGCAGATTTAAAGAAAGAAGCAGAGAAGCCGGTAGAAGATAAAATGAACATGTTAGAATTTCTGAACAAAAACTATCCAACTGCTGACGATTTCCTTCTATCTGACGTCAAGAAGAAGTATAAAGAAACTTTCGGCATTGTTAAAACATTCGATGTACTAAAAGAAGAAATAGAAGCTACAAAACTGTTTAGGATTTCAAATATACATCGTACAATTCATGTAAAACGCTTATAAAATAACTGGGGTGAAAATTAGGTGAAAAAAGAGGTGAAATCTCACCTCTTCACCTAAAATATATTTTTATTGAATTCAGCAACAAAATTCTGAGTAAAATGGCATATGGCTTGTGTCAAACCGTTGAGTTTTCACAAAATTTAAAAAATAACGTTTACCATGTAAAACGTTTATAAAATAACTGGGGTAGAAATGAGGTGAAATCTCACCTCTTCACCTAAAATATATTTTTATTGAATTCAGCACAAAAATCATGAATTTCCTCATATGATTGCTTCCCTCGGAAAACCGAGGGAAGAGATTCCGTACGAAAATCGCAAGAATTTGGCTCCTGGTTTGAAAGGATATTATGTACATAGA